CAGACGAAAACTTTCCCGCATTTTAAAAAACTTTTCTTCCTAACATCAACTTTCACAATTGTCGGATTACATCCACAAAAGGCTTTCAAATTCTAGAGCACACTGTCAGAGCCGGACTTTTATTGACATCACCCAGCCATATAATATAGTATGGCATGACAGTACATGCATCTACCAAACTAACAAAGATAGGGTAGCCCACATTATCACTACACTCAAATACATGTCCTCCCTACCTTCATCAACTAGAACCGTTTTCAGTCTCCTGTAAACGCAATCATCATTCAAATCCGAGACCTATAAGTGCAGTCTTGCCACAGGGTTCACCACTATCCACTACACTTTTAATCTATAAGTTTCTGACTTTCCAACATTCAAACGGCCCAATTTGCGGAAGATACGTCAATTTTCCTAGACGGAGATTCGCTAGTACATATCAGAAATTCTCTTAAATTGTATCTCAATCTCATAGACAGTTAGGCAGCATATTTAAAAATCAAACTTAATCCCACAAAACAGCTATAAAAACTTTCACATTAAGGCCCTATTCACCTCCAGCACCGCTCACAATAAATAATGAACTCATTAACTGGCTACCTCCAAATAGTACTGTAAAATATCTCGGGCTTAATGTAGACACTAAACTGAACTGTAGCTAACACCTCAATTGTAAAATACAACAAACAAAAAAATAAGCTACATCAACTAAAACCATCATTAATCGATCCTTTCACCTCCCATTCCCAACAGCCATACCCATCTACAAAACCATCATTAGACCACTCCTCTATTCGCCTGTCCGGTATCTCCGCAGCAAAAAGAAACCTTAACAAGCTTCAAATAATCCAGAACCAGCTTCTTAGAACAATCACAAATGCTCCTTGGTTTGTTACAAACTCACAGCTCCACAAAGAATTCCAAATGGACTCCATACAGCACCAAATAACGTATCTCTCCACCCAGTTCTATCATTCCATACCTCAAATTCTTCACCTAGCCGTCTTCAGACTCCGGAAAATTCCTTCTCACAGAACCAGAATTAAAAGTAGATATCCATACCATGCATTCCTAATCAAATTTTCCGAAATAGATTGTTGTTAGAGGTGTCTGCAAAAGATTTTGTCGCCCAAATTAGTATGTAGTTTATTTTTAGGTAAATTAGAATGTAAGCCTTTACAACACATGTAAAGTGCATAAAAGAACTGATATATGTATGCTCTGTAAAAAAAAAATGACGGATCGGACGATTTGTACATTTTGATATCGATTTCTCTGAATTTGCTTCTTCTTTAGTTTCATAAGAAACTTTCCAAAGAAAACAAGAAATTGTGGTCTTAAAATAGAAAGTAAAAAACCTTCTATGTGATCTTTACAATTTACTGATCATAGAATATCTCGTTTGTGGTAAGAGCCACAAAGGAAATTTTCGTAAGGTGTTTCAATTAAGTATTACAGTAAATACATATTTAGTACTATTTTACAGAAAGTGTAGAATGCCGAAAGCGGCCGAAGATACCAAAAGCGTTTCAAAATATTTCAAACAATTTTTGAGTATTCAGAGTTATCAGTGAAAATCGAACCTAGGCTACCTTCATTAGTGTATTTCACTCTATTCTTACAAGAATTAAAACAAAAAATTGGAGCCGTCTTTGAGAACATTTCGAAAATATACCAGGAGCTTCATGTAAAATACCTCTAAAAATTAATGAATGTTATTGAAATTTGCTGAGCTTCGAGTAAGGTCGGATGGACCGGGCAGTATTTAATTTCGAAAACAAATCTAATCATAGTTTAGGCGCTAGTGTTATTCACAGACGACACACGGACAGACTTGAAAACAAAACACGTTTTTTCGATTTTAAAGACGCATTATTCGTTAAATCTGACTATATTACAAGTTAGAGTGGTACTACTTATTAGTACAGGAATTATCAGGGTCCACAATAGAAGTTTTTCGGTCACAAAATCGCGGTTTTTTGCTACAGCATTATATAATTTTCTCTATACTAAGTAAATACTCAGTGTATACTTACGTATTCGAGGATGTAACACTAGCGGTGCTGCAGATGGCTCAGACTTTTTCGTGCTAGTGTTCTAATCTCTTTGGTCTCTACTATTTTTTCGGTGCTCTCACATCCTTTTACCAGTTACTATCGTCGCTCAAATAACGTTTTTGAAATTTTCTCAATTTTTCCATTTCCTAATTGTAGAACCATATTACTATTTAAAGAATAGTAAAGAAGAGCACAACCACGACATAAATATAATTTTTTATAAACAAATTTGGAGCCGTTTTTAAGATAGTGGTGACATATCCGTATTGTTAATGCGATATTTGAAGCTCTTTTCACAGAAAACGTTTGAGTTTTCGAAAAACTTCATAAGAAGTCATTTGAAGAACTTTAACTCTCAAATGTAACAGTGTTTACGATTTTTTCGAAAGTGCAAATTAACAGCGTGTGAGATATTAAAAAATAGTATTATTAAAGAAAAATACACCTAAATTAATTTTATTTCACATTAAAAAATACAATTAGCACTAGCCGTACAAAACGTTTGAAGAAAAAAATTTGTTATGCAAATGTTTAAAAGCATGCATTTAAATGCATAAACGATTTTGTGAAAATGACGTTAGAGCATTTCAATAAATGCGAGATTTGAATTCATTGACCTATGCCACTTTTACAAAGACATTTAACTCTGTTCTTACAAGAAATTTAAAGGGAAAATGTGAAGCCATTTTTGAGAAAATGTTGATAATGTCGCAGTGACTTCATGTAAACTATACTCAATTTTAAAGAATGTTTTTACTCTCTCCCCTCACGAATTCTTCGTAGAAGAAAAAGTTATCTAATCGTGCGAAAGAAAACGCCGTAATTTGGCTGAAAAAATCTTTTCCCCGGATTCTGGTAACGAAAAAGTGGATAAATCCATTTGCTAAATTTAGAACAAAAAATTCTCGTGTTGTAGTTTTTCAAAATTTTCAAAACAATTGCTCCAAATGTTTTGATTTAATTTTCTCGTTTAATAGTGCGAAAGACGTATAAGAGAATGGTGCAGGTTTCATATTCGGTGATATCCATAATCGGTTTTTGAGAAAATGGCGTTTCCCGTTTCCGCGTAATTTTGAACTCGTTTTCACAGAAAACTTTTGAGTTTTCGGAAAACTTTATTAGACATCTTTCAAGTACATGTACTCGTAAATGCAATAACATGAACAAATCGCCAAAAATGTATTAACGACGTGAGTGTTTAGTAAAAAAATAAATTTTGGAAATTTTTGAAAAAACAAATCTCATAGAGAACATTTGGCACTATCTTTACCAAATGTGTAAAGAAAATATGTTGACCGCTTTTTAGAAAATCTTGTTTTGTTAATTTAATTTCGTTAAATTTGGCAAAAATGACCAAAATTTTCAAAAAATGACATGACCTTAATGAAATAATCACTTAGGAACAACAATTTTCGTTTGAAGGAAAAAATTACATTCTTAATTTTGTAGTTGTAGGAAGTCACCAAAAAATCTATATTTTGCAAGTTTCGAAAATTCAGTGTTATCAGTGAAAATAGGATATATGCCATCTTTTTTAAGTGTATATTTCTCCATTCTTACGACAAATTTAAAAAAAATTGGAGCCATTTTTGAAAACAATTTGAAAATGTTCGTGAAGTTTCTTGTAAAGTTCACCCAAAAATTAATGAATATTTTTCATAATCGCCGAGCTTTGACTCCGGTAGGAGTTTATTCAGTACAATCCTTCTGGTAAGATCATAGTAAAAGTTCGATAACAGTAAAAGTATTAAATATTAATTGAACATAAAAGTTAGGAAGGCACTAGAAACAAAAAAAATCGAGATATTTATAAATGTTCTTTTATTTCATAAATCAATACAAAAATTTCCCTTTCATTTAATTTATAAATGCAAAAATAAATATATGTTTAGGTGTTGCTAGTCTTGTTTATCAGGGCTTCCTTATGAAAACAGGTAAGAACAACGACCTTCAGATTATCATGAACGTTCTGTAATCTGGCGAACACAACTCTATGCATACATATTTGTCATGGATATTTCTAAAAGTTAAAAGTTTTCTTGTGTCCAAAAAGCTGTCGTGTGACAGAGTACGCAATTCTAAAAGGCCAGGATCGTCCTTCTGATGTTGACTTAGAGTCGAGCTTGATACTGCTTTTAGTAGCCAGAGTGTTATCTTCAGAGGATGAAATGGATTTTCTCGACACTGACTTTTCAACGAGTTTTCTATCTATTGCGCTATCAACAGATTTTCGCGGTTTTAGTTCGAGCAGCATCTCCCTCGTTGCTTTGGAAGGCGGTGTCGTCTCCTCTCGCCCTGGAGATCCAACGTCAGAAAGGTGATTTCGGCTGGTTTTTGTTAGTAAACTTGATATAACCCTTTGAAACACATCCGGCGAACTTTTGTTGGAGCGAAGCGAAACAATTTTTTCTTCCCCGCGCTGTAATCTTCCAGAATTAAAATACTTCCTTGATTTTCTTGCGGCATTCATTTTTCGGAGAGCGTATAATTTCCTAGAATCTTTCCTGCTCTCTCGCTTGTACGCAAGTTTTGAAGAGTGATTGCTTGTGTTTGAAAGGCTGTAGCGACTTTCCGACGAAAGGTCACGCCAGACACTGGCCGGGGAGCTTTTGGTTGCGGAAAGCGTTCCCGAGCGCGGACGCAGACACCTACTGGTGCTCGACTCGCTGTCCGTGAAGACGTATTTAATTTTCTTTCTTTTCAGGCAAGTCGGTTTCTTGGAGCGGAACTGCGGAGGGCGGCCGGACTGCGACGTCGTTTGCGCATTCGCCTCTTCTCTGATGGTGAGCCCAGGGGCGGAGCGCCCCCGTTCAGTGGCGAAGCGCACCTTCAGCTTGGAGCCCTGAGCCCCCGAGGGAGGGACGCAAACCTCCAAACTTCCGTTCGAAGCGTTTCGGGACCTAAGAAATTCCAGATCGTCCGGGATGTGGAGGTTAAGCTCTATTTTGCTTCGGTAAGATGTACTCTTTTTTAATATTCCTTTCTTGGGCAGTGATGGGTTTAGTGTCGATTCACTGATGCCAGATACTTCGGATATTGTGTGATGAATGGTATTGTTCGAAGCAACCGAACTTGTGCGTTTTGAGTTAAAGGATTTGGACGACATTACAGACTCTGTGTCTATGCTTCCGAAAGTATTTAGCTCAGCGTTTGATAAAGAGTGATTGCTCAAGATCTCAGGGTTTGTCTCCACAGCGCTGGTTAGAGTGCTACTCGTTACGGCGTGCGTACTCATGTGTCTCTTTTTGTTATCCTGCGGAAGAGACGGCGACTTCACCGCCGCCCTGCCAGCCGCCCCAGGCGCCGTCGCCCCCTCGTCGGGGGTTGGCTCAGCGCGTGGCTCATCGCGTGGCCGCGCGCTCGCGTCCCCCGTCGGCCCAGCGGCGTGGCTCTCCTTGGCCAACTGGTCCGCCAGCTGGAAGACTTCGTTCTTGACGAGGCAGCCCCTGGGGCGCCGGCCGCCGCCGCGCGCCGACTTGTCCGAGTTGTTCTGCGCGGCGGCCGCCTCGTCCCTCTGCTCGGGCAGCGGGAGCAGCGTGGGCTGCCAGGGCCGCGCGTCGTCTTCGTCGTCGCTGAAGCACTTTTTGAGCAGGCGGCGCCTCTGAGCGGCGCGCATCCGCCCGTCGCCCTCCGCGGCGTCGGCGCCGCCGCCGCCGTCGTCGCCGGCCGTCTCCAGCATCTCCGAGATGGCGCGCACGAAGGCCTCCTCGGGCGTGGGGGGCCTCCGCGGCGCCGCGTCCGCGCACTCCGAGTCCGACACCTTGCGCACGAAGGCGTCGAGGTCCTCGTCGTCCTCGGAGGGCGACGCCTGCAGGCGGTCGGCGCTCACGCCGCGCCCAGCCTTGGCCTGGACAGCGAGCCGCTTAGGCTCCGAAGCGCTCCGGCGAGGACCAGCCTGCAACACGAGCCCTGAGCCTTCAGACGGACGGGGCTCTCCACTGTTGAGGATCAGGCGGGCGAGGCCATTCCTAGGCTCCCAGTGCAAATTGGGGTCAATCCCTGTGGAAATTATGGTGTACAAAACCTGTGAGAGCTTTGGCTTCCGCGGCCGGAGTCAGTATTTAATTGGCTGTCCGAGTAACGCCGCGTCCATGGCAAAGGTGCCGATGTTTCGGTCGCCATTCTACGACCTTCCTCGCATTACGCCCTGAGTACCTTTGCCATTGACGCGGCGTCATCCGGACAGCCAATTAAATGCAAAAGCAGTCTTCTAGAAGATCTGCCGTCTTACCTGTCTCTCAGTCCACTATCGATCCATTATCATTCAAATCAGACTACCATAATCACCCAACTATGAAGATCACTTATCAATTCTAAGAATGTCTACAATGCTTACATTGACACCGTAATGAAGATATATGCTAATGCATGAGCTATGACCTAACCAGTAAATAATAGCTATAAAAAGTTTTCTCTCTCTGCTAGATGGTGAAGGGTCGCCCTGTAATGTAGGGGATTAACTACCTCAGAATACCTACATAACTACCTCGCTCATACTTTTCTTTCTTTTTGCCTTGAACATTAGTCCACATTGTATACATTGAAAGTGAATTATCATGAAATGGTTTGTGATTGTTAGGTAAAAAATTTGAAGTTAAGATAGTGTCTTCTAGCTCAAGAAAAACGGTGTTGACGATATCATCATTTGTACAGCATACTCCTAGGACTAGTGTGGTCCATCAAACGAGCATACTTCCTGACTGGTCTAACCTTAGGTCCAGCAGGAAGGCGCTTGGGAGAAGTAAATCCGGCTGTCCCATGTTGTAAATTTACTACATGTAGAAGATCCTCAAGGTCCTAAAAGGAGCCTCTGAGCTCTGTTTCGTCGTCCGAGTGGCGTCTAGTTGTCTTGTCTGCGAGGTGGTGAAGGGTCACCTTAGGTCCAGCAGGGAGGCGCTTCCGCTCCTCCCGTCGCGGCGCGGCGTCCGCCTCGGCCGGCGCCGGGAAGTGGCAGAAGCCGTTCCACGAGGAGCGGCGCAGGAAGTCAGCGTCGGCGACGAGCGTGCCGAGCGAGGTTGGGTCCACGTCCGGCGCGCGGGCGGGGGCGCTGGCGGCGCTGGCGGCGGTGGCGCCGGCGCTGGCGGGTCGGGGCCGCTGGCGCTGCCGCTGCCGCTGCCGCTGGCGCTGGCGCAGGGCTTCGGCGACGCTGCGGCAGCGCGCGACCAGGTCCGCGGGCACGTCGCGCCGCACCACCAGCCCCGCGCGCCCGCCGCGCGCCCTGCGCACCCGCCGCACCACACGTTGTATCGAAGAACACCAATGTAAGTTTTTCACACATCTTTACTGCATTAATATGCGCATTTACACCAATTTGTAAACACTATTGCATTTGTGAGTTAATGTGCTTCAAATGACTTCCAATAAAGTTTTTCGTAAACCCAAAACTTTTCTGAGAAAAAGTGCTTCAAATTTCAAATTTACAGTAGTGCTTAAACGCCAGTTTTTTTTAAACCGGCTTCAAATTTTTCAAAGGAAATTGACATTTAGGAAGAGGTTTTACTGTTCTTTAATAAGCTTAAAATAATATGAAATAATTATAAGAGTCCTCATTGCCAAAAATATTATTTATTAAAATAGCAGCTTTCGATGGCCTAGCCATTTTTTGGTATTGCCAACGTATAACAATGGAAAATCTTACGAGAGACTAAATGTATTAATAAACATTGTTTTCCTGCAGCGACTATACAATACTTCTCTTTTAACTAAAGTGCTCAAGAAAAGTCTCTCCGTACTGAGCCGAATCACAACCTCCTGTGAAAAATTGCGTTTACGTTGGTGGCAATCAGATCACTGTGAAATAATTGAAGGGGACCGCACTTGCAGCATCTATTACGATTGTTGTGAGTACGCAATTTACGTTTTCAATCTGCAGCTTATGCTACCAACATAATTTTTGTTGCAAGCACTGTCAACAGGAAGGTGCCATTACGAAGAGACTTTTCTGCAATTGTAAAAGGGAAGTATTGAATAGTTGCTCTAGAAAAACAATGTTTGCTAATAAATTTAGTCTCGCGCATGATATTTTATTTTCATAAGTTGGGAACACCTAATGTGGGTTAGGTTGGCTTCAGCGCCCATACTTTTCTTTCTTTTTGCGTTGAATATTAGTCCACAATGTATACATTAAAAGTGAAATATCATGAAATAGTTTGTGTTTGTGTGATACAAAATTTGAAGTTTAGATGGTTTCTTCTACCCGAAGAAAAACGCTGTTGACAATATAATGATATGTACAGCATACTTCCAGGCCGAGTGTGGTCCATCTAACGAACATACGTCCTCGGGCTGGCAAGTCGGTTCACCCTGCCCCTTTTCGTCCTGCAAGGGCTTGTGCGGAAAACCATGCAGCCCAATAGAAAACTATATTTTTTAACCATAAGATTTTTGTAATATCTTCAATAGGAATACGTTTGAGCAACTGAACCAAGATATAAACGTGTATTTTTATATATTATTACCTATGGTTTAAGGCTATACTCACAAAATACTACTTTTTTTATTAAGTGCGCGAAGTGGATATTTTTCTCATGGATGAGATTGAATTTTTTGCCGAGATAGAAGGTCGAAACTCAATGGTGATCGATCGATTCATTTTTTGCTTGAGCCGTGGGTAATAGCAAACAATTCGATCTCATGAAATATGAACACGTTTTCTGCAGATGCGTAAAAAATATGTGAAAAAGTGTGTAATTGTATACTGGAATAATGACGAAGCGTTACTACAGTATACGTATTTCTACAGTAGCGTATTTCTACAGAATATTTAGTTAAAATAGTTAGAATACAATTACTGGATGAACTAAAAAAATATTTGAGGGTAAGTGTCTCCCATGTTCCCACGTATGTCACACCTGTAGGTAAAGGAGTTTAAATAGCTGTTGCGATGCCTTTCGAAGTTGTTTCCCAATATTTTTCATAGACTATAAGTTTTACTACATTTCCCTTTCTGACATTTAAAATTTTCCTTCATTCGGAGCCTACTATTGGCATGATGGTGCTTGATTGCTTACTATATTTATTGGAAATGCGCAGTGTTTTCAACTCCTCCTGGAATAAAGGTGAGAACCGCCAGTTTGATTGCGTAACTGAGAAGCGCAGAGATACTCCCTTCCAATTGCGGAATCATATCTATGGCAGACACCCACGTACAAGCTTCTTTTGACGAGCCTGTCTCGAGCTCATATGAATTTGGCTGCTACCTGCTTCAGTTCTCGTACATAGGGAAACAATACGATATTAACATATGTACAACCGGGCAAGCCAGGGGTTCTAACCTTCCACTTAAACAGCCCGCGCGCACTGAGCAGGCAGCGGAACAAGCTCTAAGCTCCCGAGTGGTCTCACAGCACGGATGGCAGTGTTGCAAATGTAGTGTCGAGCATGTAATGGTGAAAGGAGTTTAAGGGGAGAGGAGGCGGCCTAGACGAGGAGGGGAATATTAAACTCGGTCTACGGTCCGTTTGCTAGGATTCTGCTCCGACATTTCCCGGGTAACGGTTAAAAAAACACAAAAAAGTTGATTGAATTGAATTGTACTCCAGACAAGGACTATACTCGACTACGCTCTCCCGCTAGTGTCGGAAATCTGCCACGGTCTGAGTTGATACCGTACGACTTCCCTGCCAGAGACACCGCGTAGACAAAAGGTGTGGCCCACGACTGAACCAACCGCAGAAGGTCCCTCTCCGTCGCCGGGGGCAAGGGTCGGTTGGCACAGCGTGCTTACGTACTGGAGTTAGGCCGGGCACACCCACCAGGAGCCTCTGGCGCCACGGGGCGTGGCCGGGGTGCGCGGGCGGGTCGAGCTGCGCGGCGTGCCGGGCGTGCGGGGCGTGCAGGGCGTGCGCGGCCGGCAGGGCGTGCGCGGCCTGTGGCCCACGGCGCCGCCCACGAGCGCCGCCCACGGCGCGCGCGGCCCGCCCCTCGCCCTCTTGCACGAAGCGCCGGCGGCGCCGCCGCCCTTCGCCGCCCTCGCCCCGGCTGCCGCGCCCACGGCGCCGGCTTCGCCCACGGCGCCAGGGCGTGCGCGCGCGCCGGCCCCGCCCGCGGGCCCCGCCCCCGCCCCCGCTCCCGCCCCGCCCCCGGCGCAGGCGCGTCCGCAGGGGGGCGTGTCGGCGGAACGCCTGGCGGCGGAGGAAGCGGCGGTGGTGGCGAGCGAAGAGCCGGTGGCGGAGCGGGCGGTGCGGGCGGAGCGGGTGGAGCGGGCGGAGCGGGCGCTGGACGTCCGCGGCGGCGGGGGGCGCGCCTGGCGCTGCGGGGACGCCGACCCCAGGCGGGGGTGCGGTCTATAGCGCGGGGAACAGGCCGCCTCAGCTGCCGCGCTCGGCTCTAGGCCGCCGGCGCAACTATCTCCTACGATAGGCACCACTCCCGGGCTCTCTTTATTTCATTTGCGTTTTCACGTTTTATAGTCATCTTTCTAGAAAGTTATATTTTACGTTTTCAACAGAACTTTTCAATTTTTTTAATGCTCTTTGGAAAGTTAATTCTTTTAGTTTGAAACAGAATTCACATAAAAATGGGTTTTTATTTTGATACTTAATGTTTGTTATGTCTAGATATTGATGCCTGAAAATAATGTTTCTGCGTCAAGTATGACGCGTAGCTTGAGATGTGGTAGATATATGACGTATTCACTATCGCGTAAAACATATTCTCATCGGTATAGCGTACGTACTGCTTCGCTTGAACAAAATAATTCCTGCATTCTCCGTATTTTTGACTTGTTAATATACTATAAATTACTCATTAATAAAAATACAAAAAATTAAGAATCGTATTTGTAATTATTTCTCCAAATTTATTTTCAACAATAATATACACGTTGTAATGCTGACATCTTCATGCCAACTTACTTGTGTTTTTGTGCTTCAGATTTCTTGATCTATCGTTCTAAAAACGTTATTTTTGATG